CCCACGTTCTTATAGTGTAGGGAAAGCAAGGCATGCCACGTAACCAAGAAAAGCAAACACAAACCAAGGTGAGATTTGATGGGATGTGTGGAAGCCCCTGGCATAATTTGAGTGTCGTGGACTGGTTGGCAGTCCCACTCCATTTTCCTACGAGTTCCACATGAGCCCTTCTGCAGTTCAGAGGTCTGATTATTTCTCTTTGAGTGTGAGAGTGTTTTCAAATCTGAAAAGCAAACAAATCTTTCACGTTGCTCACCCATGCAAAAAAAAAACAACACCTGAGAACAAAGGTTTCCTCACGCCCTTGGCTGGAACCAGCCAGGTCAGAGCTGTGGGCAAGGTGAACAGAAGTTGAAAACACCCTGAGTTTCCTGCCTGCTGCTCACTGTACAGTAGGAGAGCAGTCCTTCCTCCTTCCTCCCCTGCCCCTCTGCTTGCTCAGAGACAGATTGTTGACTTCATTCCCTGCCCTCCTCTAACAGCAGCACGCTGCTCCGGAAACAAGAGGAGACCAGAGCATGAATCACAGCCTGAGTCACCAAATCCCAACACCTTGTTTTGCTCAGAGCTGGAGGGGAAAATTCCTCTCCTCTGTGTGATTCTCCATCTCCTGTGACTCTCCAGAAGAGGCTACAGATACCCTCCCTCTTCTTCCAAAACTGCACTCCATGGTGTGTAGCCATGCTTGCAAACAGCACTGGAGGGTAGGAGAGACCACATCTCACTGGGCTCTGTGGCAGTGTTTTATTAGTATATTAGTACATGCTAGTATCATATCCTAATGGGATATGATATTAGCACACCCCAAAACACAGGAACTGGAATGAAGCAGCTCCATCACTGTATGTTCAGATCTTTGCTTTCAGCAAGCTCCAGGTCACTCATATAGGACTCAAATGGTTACAGCAGTTTTTTTGAATGGATGTCATTTTCTCTTGGAGCAATACCCATGTCCCACCATGACAATTAATAAAGAAAGAGAGAGCAGATGTATCAAATGAAAAAACAAAAGCAGCAAAATAATTAAAGAAGCAAAAGTTTCTGATTCTGCTGATTTGTTACTTTCACTTTCACTGTGAATTTCCCCATTAATACAACTGTTTGTTAGGGATTGTTGCTTCCTCTTGAAATGCTTTTGCCAGCTCTCCCTAAAGCATTGTCAGACCTGTACTGCAGCAGAGACAGGGCAGTCCTTGCAGTGTCTGTACAGTACTTGTGTGTGGTTTCTGTCTGTGCTGGACGGGCCTGTGTGCAGAGCTCTCACACCACTGTGTGGATACTCACTCACATCATCTCCAGCTCTGTAAAGATGAATCAAAGCTTCAAGCTTAGAAACTTTTTTTCAGCCTTAATTGTTTAGGTAACTGACAGGTATCCTCTGAAACACCTGCCATTGCTGTTCTTTGGAACTGGGTCTATCAGGCTGCTGGGGCGTATAATTCTGTGCAGACTTTCCAAAGAAAATGCTTTCCATTTCTGCTGGCCCAAGAGTATGGAAGCACTTGCCTATGCACCTATGGAACATATGTCTTCTTTGGGAGAGAAGTGTTTTAACCTTTAGGTTTTTGTAGAGTCTTCACTTACTACCTTTCAGGTTAAAAAGTTTGACCGAAGTCTTAAAGTCTACTTTGATTCCCCGCTAGAGATTGTCAGAAGCTTTGAGGATTCGATTGGAAAGCCAATCAGACAGAGAATAAAGCCACCAGATGATTCAAGTACAAAGCAACCTCCCTCTGACCTATGGAGTGCAGCCCTTTGCCTCTCCCAGATGCACTGAGGAGTAGGAAAAGTGTGGAGAGAAGGAGACTCTACCCCACAAACTTGAGAAATCTTTTCTGAAGAGCAGGAGGTGCCTCCCTGCACCTTTGTAAATATTGAGAATCATCTCAGCTGGGGGGCATTCAGACTTTAAATTGTTCCATGTTTTTCTAGGCTTTCAGGGTGTGAGTGTATGACTAGATCACTGGGAATTAAGAGCTGACTTTTGTGTGAAGCTGAGAGGTCAGGGCTATATTTGTGCCAGGAATGAAGGGAAGACTTGCATTGTTTGGCATTGCCTACACTGAACGATACACAGCTGTTTTCTTTTCTGACGTGTCATTTAAAAACTATAACTCTGATTGAATAGAGACTAGAATTTGCTCCAAAATTATATAGTGGCTGATGGAAACAATCATAATTGTGTTCTTTCTGTACTATAAACTTCCTTTTTGTTGCATCTCATTGAATCAATGCCTTTAATTTGGGTGGGTGATGCAAGACTGTGCTAAAAATTTTATGAAGAATGGGAAACCTGTTGTCAAATCAAGTAATGCCATGACCCCAAAGCATTTTACACATCCTTCCCACATCAGCATGGCTACTCCAGATTGAGATTCTACTCTTCTAGTGATAATTAAAGCAAATAAAGCATTGATCTAGTAGAGGAACTTCCTGGTCAACTTACCTTTCATTTTCACAGGTCATGTTTCAAAACAAGAATCGTCTGTCTGCTTCCTGTCTAGGTATTCTTACCTTGCCCAAGGTTTACTCTTGGTGAACACTGTCTCTCTTCCAGGACCTCTCTTAGGCTCCTGCTCTCCATTTTTTTTTTCCTTGTTTCTTTTTATTGTTGTTTATTCTGCTACTTTCTTTTCCTTCTCTGCTCTCTCCAGACAATCCAGGGAGATCTAATAGATCTCTTAATAATCTAATAGATACCTAAGAATTTCCAGAATCTTAGCAATTTTTTTTCAGGAAAGGCTTAATTCAGATAGTCTTTGGCAGCCACCTCACTCAGAGGCAGGCACTTAGCCTCCAGCCATGCTATTCTTGCCAAGACCTATATAAAATATTACCTCACAAGCAAACGGGGAACTGATAATATCAAATAGAATTTGTAAGTTTTATGTAGGCTGTATTACTAATTCTCTCTCCACTTCAAAGTTTGATATCTTGAATCCAAGAATAAGTGTTTGCTAACTGTCAGCTGTTCAGCTGGCTGGTCCTTCGTTTGAGACACTGCTGGTGGCTGAAGCACTGCCACCAAGCCCTTGGAAGTGTTGCTGTTACCAGGGGCCAGTAGCCTGCGAGAGCTACAAGGTGACCTTCACTGAAAGAGAAGGCACTGGGTTTTGGGGGGCTGCAAGGCTGTAGACACAGTAACAATCTTAAAGGACACATACACAAATGTCAGACCCAGGGAAGTAGGATATCTGAGTGGCGTGTTACAGGAGGATGTTTTTCTTAGCAAGAGCAAACACCTTTTTGTTGATTCCATTTCTTGTTGACCCTATGTGATTACATAGAGTGTTCTCACAGAGTTGTGTCTTCACAAAGTGAGGGAACATAATCTAATCAATGCTTTTCTCCTGCCACAGAAAATTGCTGTAGCTGAGCAAGTGCCTTACAAAGGGCACTCTGAGGCATAGAGAGCAGTTGAAGGAGATTTAGGAATGTTGTTGTAAATAGAAATGTTAAGATATGGTTCCACAACAGCCTAAGCTGTGCTAAACTTGGCCTAACATATTCTCACCTTTCCTGCCAGTTCTGCCTTGAACTTTGGACTGGGCAGCCTCAGGGTTTAAGGGAGAAAACCAGATGAAAACCAGCCCTCCACTTTCCCCACAGAAGGGACTGGGTTTGGGTTGGATCAGTTTGAAACGCGGCGTGTTTTGACATGAGCGATGACTACTGAGAGCAAAGGGGTGGGAACACAAGGGCAGAGCAAAGGTAGTCCTGATGTAATCCAGTGTGAGTTGCTATTGAAACTGCCCACAGTCTGTGTAAATACTAGTAAAATTGGATGTGCCTGGGAATATTTCCAGGCACTAGAATGAGATTGCCTATGCTAATAGACTGTTAAAATGCTCCCTGGCATGAATTTGACCTCTTCCAATCAACACTCACTGCAAACAATTTCTGGGCACAACTTAGTTGCTAGAATGGTCCCAAAAGGTACTTTGCAATCATAAACTTGAGTCTTTCTGTGCCAGTTGGCTTCAATGCCAAGGAATATTTCAGGCATGTTGAATTTAATAATACAGACCCATCCCTACTTTGACTATTTCAAATCCTTATGAAAAGACAGGACTCGTCTTGAAAAAATTATTTTTGAAACAGATAATAGTAGAGCATAAAAGATGGGAAGACATGAAATCCAGAAATAAGGAATTTTATTTCCTTTTAATAAGGCGGTAAGAAATAAGCATTTTGCATTAATTTCAGGCTGTGAAGGTGGAGGAGAGATAGCAATAACTTGTTATTCAGTTATTTCTGTGCTACAGAATATTCGGCAACTTATTAGGCAAAGTTAAGGCTGACATGATTCTTTTTTCAAGTCAGTTGCTGTACTGGAAGTGAAATTATTCCTCCTTCTATATATTAAAAAAAATCTACAACTGCAGCATTTCCCTTTCAGTTTGGAATGTTAATAAAATCAATGTACTTGGTATCTTGAAGTACTAAAGCAAAGTCCTCAATTTTAATCTGTTATTAGTTGGGTTTTTTCCTTCACAATTGCCTTTATGAGTTTCCCTCCACATCAAGAAATCTGAAAAACTGGAATTTTTTCTTCTCTCCAGGTATACTCACTTGGCAATCTTAATGATCCATCTCCCCTCGGGGCACAATTAAAGGTGTTATTTTGAAGGAGCTTTACGAGGGTTGTTGTACAGCACAAACGCGCTCTCTGGGCTGCGTTGCTCTAGGACCCAGAGCGACTGGGACTGACCGAAATCCTCACCTGAATGAATTTTCCCCGTATGCCTTATAAGGAGTCCAGGAAAACAAGGAAGTGATAACCATGTTCACGTTGCTGTGTGCACAGCTTGTCCTCTCTACCTGCCCAGGTAGCCCTTGTTTTCACTTTTGTTCATGGTCCGTCCCGCTGGGGCTGAAGTTTCCTCGCGATCCGGTGTACGTGACATCTGAAAACATACCCTCCAGGAATGCATGGTTTTTACGACATTCTACCTTTATGCAGATGATAATTAACAAGCTATTATTTTTTTGTCATGCAGCCAGCACTGAAAACGAATGGGGATTGAATTGCTTTGCCTCTGTTTCCTATTTCTGCAAAGAAATAACTATGTGCAAGGTAAGGCTCAGGGGCATGGAGATCCATTTCAAAACCATTTTGCATTGTTTCTTGCTTGAAGTTGACATGAAATAGCTTTCTGCCGTCTGTATTTAATCTTTCCTTTCTATTTAATGACCTTTTTTTGACAGACTGCTGTGGGGGCTGCATTGCCATTTCATCTACAATTTGGTGGTCATTACACAGCACAACAGGTTTGAAAGAGACAGACATTTGAGCAATTTTGTTTTCAGTAATCACAGTTTGTTCTGCTAAGAATCTTTCATATTATACATATGGCTGAGCGTTTCTCTGGTAGTTACACAATGGACAAAAATGGTATCAAGAATCTACAGAGCTGAGTGAAGCAATATTAACCATACAGAGTGAGCATAAATCTGTTCTTTTAATGTCCCTGTCTGTGTGGGAAATGACTTACCTACACCATACCAGAAACACATGTAACACTCCATCAGGTGCACTGGAGGGAACAAGTTAACATGTTCTAAGTGAATGCCACCCATAAAGCACGCAAAAGGAGGTATGTTAATTGCCAGCAATTCTGAGGTTTTAATCTTTATTGGAGAGTTAATATTTTACCAATAGAACTACTGTTAAGAAGAAATTTTATCAGTAATCCTAAATATGGCTAAATATGTGCATTTTTCACCACCCACATTCTCTAAATGACAAGTTTCTTCATAAATTGAATGATTCAGCATAACATTAACAGCCTTTTATCTTCTTGGATTTAAATTCAGGGACCTGTTCTCAGGAAAGCACAGTGACTTGTGAAGATTGTTTGCTTTCCGGACCACACTGCGCTTGGTGTTTGCAAGAGGTAGAGTGATAAAAAAAACAATTTCAAAGTAAGACTTGAAGTCTTTGTAGTCACTCTGAGTGACGATGAAGTATTGACTTAATTGGGTCAGCCCAGGGTTTTGTAATGCATGCAGCACTTAGTGAAGCCTTCCTGGGGAGCAGAAGTGAATTTAATCTACTCTACGTGGTCTGTTATTCATAGTATGGTTGTTAGGATGTTTGTTTGTTTTCTTGTTTGAAAAAAAAAAAGAAAACATCAAGCTTCCAAATCTAAGGCAGAAATAGAAGTATTATTAGGGGGTCTCAGGTCATCAGCCCGAGGGCTGGCTCACCCCCAGCACTGATGCTGAAGCACCAGACACAAAGTCAGAAGCCAGACTGTATCTTAACAGATTACGTGCCAAGCCAGACAGTATAAACAGAAGGTTTGCAGGTATCAACAGTGCAAAAGTTTGCAGATGTAAAAGTTCCATATAGAAATTATTAATCTGTGGTTGATTTTAAGTATGATGATAATGTCAGCTTTATAATTTGTGTGATATAGGTGTGTTTTGGCTAAAACATTGAACTTTAAAAATATATCTGGATTTGTTTCCTATACCTTTGTTTCAAATTTTCAGTGCCACCCTGGGGAAGTGACCTCATATTTCTGCTTTTAAAACTTTCTCCTATAAATAGTGCTAAATATCATCTCCCCACTTCACAGTAAATATTCTAGCTCTTAGTGCATTAGCATTAACAAGATAGTCAGCTATTGCAACAAAAACTTGACAGAAATACTAGAGAAATAACGTCTTTTTCATTTTAGTTTCTGGATTGCATCTTTGCTGCTAGCAGTTTTTGTTGGTTTTGGGTACAGCAATATGACACAGTATGGGACTAAAATACTCTTTATGAAATGGCTCAGAAAGAAAAAAACTGCATGTTTAAAAAAAAAATCTAAAAAGACGTCTTTTGCCATTTAAAAAATATATTACCATGGAGGTCAAAAAGACCCCACATTTGTGTGTTTGCAGTAGTTTTTATATTTGTACTATAAAACAGGATTTTGTTGAAATTGGATCACATAATTTTGACTACTGCCATGTATTTTCAGGGGGAAAAAGAGCCCAATATAATTTATTGATTTAAAAAACTCCAAAACCAAACAAAAACCTGTGGAACTATTGAAAATGTCACTGTAGTAAACATGATTTTTCTTCTTTGTTCTTAAGTTCATTCATTTCTTTGTTAGAAAACAGCAGATCAAGCGTGCAAAAGGCATAGGAGTTTTAGTGTCAGAGCAAACAAAGGCACCCCCAAGGAAACCACTGTTTTCTGTAGGATAAGAACACACTTTGTAATTGTATTTGAAATTTGAGGTTGTCTCTTCACACATTTTGAAAAGTTACAAACTGTGCAGCTAAAGGAGACAATATGGATCTCCCTGCAAAAGGCTTATAATGGTACGTGTAATTTATGTGTGCTGTATTCAAGAAGCAGTGAGTGAGAGTTTTGCCTGAGCAAAGGCATCAGGTTCAGTCTGGAGAATAATAAACCACTGTTCCCAGCAGGTGCCTCAACTTCTACCAAAATATATAAGATTCCTGACAATTTTCAGGGACAAAGGGTGATATTTTGGTGGAAATAAAGGTCATAGTTCTGTTTTTAATAGGTTTAAAGTTAACCTGTTTTGTTTTGCATGGAAAGTTTTTCAGTGACTGAATTTAGAGAACATTGGTGGCCTAATGGCTGATCCATGGATTGCTTGTCCAGCCCTAAGAGAAAAGAGCAGACGCATGGTGTGGGCCCATGACCATCTGCCAGGAACTGAATGTTTCAGAGCTGATCCTGCCAGGAATTGCCCAGGTTTTGTTCAAAAGGGCTTGCAGGCCAGAGCAGTTTCCAGGACACACCTGACTGATTCTGTGAATCTTAACTCTAGTCATAGCTCTGGGAAATGGTAAAGAGGCACAGAATCCTCTGTGTAAAAGTAACCATTAACTTCACCACCATGTGAGGTTAGAACCTGCCCTGCAGCAGTGCTGTGGAAAGGAATGCATATCAATGCTCTGAACTGAGTAATGACAATAAACTCTGAGATATCCAATTGCTGTCTATAGGCTTTTGATTTCCTCTGGCTGGTAGATGATCAAGGAGGATGCTGGGTCAAATGTAGGTGTGGGGATGCCGGTGGTGCTGAGGAGCAGCGGGGACAGGCTGTGGTCACTGCTGGGCACCAGGCAGAGGAACAAGGACTTGATGCCTGCTTCAGTGAACAGGTTAAATGAGAGCTGAGGAGAAAGTGTGGGTCAGGAAAAAATAACCAGTAAACACTGGGTACCCACAACCTGTTTGTCACAAGTTGTCCAGGAGTTTATTATCAGCAAGACCTCTTCTTTTATTGAACAACATGCTTCAATCAGCAGTTCTAAACTGTATGGAAAGACTGATAAATTTGTGGCACAATCCTGTGGTAGAAAAACCACAGGTGGCTCAGAGGGGCTTTGTGTTATCATTCCCAGTACTGTGAGAAGCCAAATGCAGTGAGTGGCACAATTCCCATTCCCCAACAATAGAGCAGTTTCTCCCAGGATAACAAGCCGGTGTAAGTTACATTAATTATACACCTGTGTGACATGACCCGTGAAGGGCAAATTTGGGTTTCTGTGCCACCTATATCTAGTTCTGCACTAGTTAGCGCAAACCTGCACCTTTGTTTCCATTCCCTGAGTTGGACTGACCTTTGGTGGGGCAGGTGCTTCTGGCTAGTCAGTAAAAACATTTAACTCATCCCTTCCTTCTCCTGTTTGCATTAGAATTACACAGACTCATCTGGAATTCATGGGAGGTGTGATACCCTGGAAAATCTTTTGTCCAAAGGATGCCAGCTGAATTTCATTGAGTTTCCCATTTCAGAAGTAGAAATTCACAGAAATGATCCCCTAACTGCATCATCCCACAAGAACAGTTCTGATGTCACACAGATTTCTCCTCAGAAATTAACTCTGAGGCTGCGACCAGGTAGGTCACAGATCATAGGTTTATTTCAGACAGTGTGATGAACTGAAACTTCTTGGATTGAACAAGATGAAAAATATCTTGACAGAATAAAGATGAAAACCTATGTTGAGTCCAAAATTATCTGTTGACTCATCACATGAAAACTAGGTTCAGCTGCGTTCAGAATATTTTCAGAAGTGCTGGGTACGTCATAAAAAAAAAGGATATATATTTTTAATTCCTCTTTTCTCTTGCCAGTGAGGTGGCAGGGAGAGAATGAAAGCCCCTGGCTCCTCCCCAGCCGAGCTCCTATGCCTGTCCCCTGCTGGTTTCAGGGGAGAGTATCTCAGAGGTGACATAGTCTTGCTTTGAGGATTTACAAGATACCAGTGATATTTACGGTAGCATTCCAAAACCACCTTGGGGTCCTTCAGATGTGAATTTTTCCTGGAGAAAATTTGGAATAAAAAAAAGTAAGAGACATCCAGTTAGGTCAGGTCATAGTGTTGGAACTGAGGATAAAATCTCTGTGTAGACCATGTTTAAATTTTTAAAGGATATGATAGGACCCCAAAGTGCTACCTCTAGTTCTAATTAGCTTCATATATAAATTTTCTAAAGCTTTCAGCATACTGCTGAAAATATATTTTAATATTTTTTCAAATTATAGCAAATAGTTTTATTCTGTGCTTAAGGCATTACTAAAGAACTGTTTAAAAAAAATCCCAAACATTAGAAATACTTTTAATTTTTCAAACCCTTCTTTGAGATTTTTTTGTTGACAATCTGAAATATTTTTGTTAGTGCTACTGGTGGTTTAAAATGAAAGATAATTGTCACTATATTGAAGTTCATGAAGAAATTGGCATTGCTCATGTCTTCTGCACAGAAGTGGTGATATATATCTCACTTTCCCCTGACCTGAATAGGACATGAAGAAACAATACAGATCAAGGTTCGCCAGACTGAAGATTATCCAATTGATCTCTACTACCTCATGGATCTTTCAGCTTCCATGGATGATGATCTGAATACAATCAAAGAACTGGGTTCAACTCTTTCCAAAGAGATGTCAAAACTGACAAGCAACTTTAGACTGGGGTTTGGATCTTTTGTTGAAAAACCAGTTTCACCATTTATCAAAACTACGGCTGCAGAAATAAACAACCCTTGCAGGTAGGCAGGGAAAGTCCCAACATCTGTTTTCATGCCAACACTGTCATAATCTTTAGGCTAAAATTAATTTCAGCAGCTTCAATGGAAACTCTCCCCTCTTCCAGATGTAAATGAGTCGGTTTGTGGAACAAGATTTGCTTCTTCTAGTTTCATCTTCTGATCATCCTTCTGTTGAGTCTTAAGTTATTAGGATAGAGGAATCTGGGATTGAATCTGCTTTTTAGCTTTTGCTGCTAGTTACAAATGAATTTAATATGTTAACAAAAAGGTGTGTGGCATGTAGTTTTGTATTTTTCTTTAATTTCTTTCATTTTCTAGAATATATAAAAGAATGTTATGAGCTATACTAAGGAGTTGTAAACTCAAACCCACCACAGAATACCAGTTTCATTTAGCCATCAATGCTATTCTCCTGCTTTTTTCCCCCCTTAAGGTGTAGCAATCTCCAAAGCCCCTGGCTGCCCTAGCCCTCAGCTAACCTGTGGGGGGAGAAGCTGGGCTCTGCAGCCTGGAGCAGGACTGCACCATCCTGGAGGTTGTCTCTGAGTGCCATTAAGGAGCTACAGATCCCAATATGCTTCCAAATAGGAGATCAAGGCTCAGCAGGAGGCACGGCAAGGGCTGCACGTTGGTAACTGGCTGAATTACTCTGCTCCAGGAGGCATTTCCCAGCCTTTATGCAGATTTTTTCCATTGCCCAAGACACTGAACGCTCTTTAATGATCTTAGGTTTTTCACTAATTCTTCTCAGGCAGAGACAAGAGACAGAAGACCAGAACTAATCCAGGCAGCCCTCTGAAGCAGCCATTTCTGTGATTTTTCACTCTATTATCCATAACCTGTCTCACTTTTTTTGCAGAAGTGTACCATATGAGTGCTTACCTACATTTGGATATAAAAATGTTTTGCCACTAACAAGTGATGCTGAAAAATTCAATGAAATTGTGAAAGGACAGCGAATTTCTGCTAATATAGACACTCCAGAGGGAGGATTTGATGCAATTATGCAGGCAGCTGTTTGCAAGGTAATTGAAACTTCTAGGTATAATATTATTTCATATCTTATCACTTCTGTATTATATGTTGGTATTTCAAAGTGACAAATTATTTTTTTAACACAAACCAAGAGCCTCATTAAATTTGTGTGAAAATACTTTTGGCTGTACAAGAAAAACATGCATATTGCAATATTTTAGTCTAAGTTTCCTTTTAATTGCCAGGGACAAATAAGCCCAAATATGAATATAATTACTGTGTCTGTTTTTCTGTTTAAATATTTTTTATCAACTATGTTTAGAGTAGTGAGCAGATTGACATGAACATGGCCAACCCATGTTATTAAACACAGGGATGGGGAAACAAAACGTTAGCCAAAGACAATGGAGTGAAAATCATCTCCTAGGAGATGTGTTGTCTTTGATACTTAGTAGAACGAAGCTATTCATTTCTTTTGAGACATCGCTCTCCAAATATTTTCCTGGTTTTCTATGTTGTGATGCAATATAGCTTGCTAAACTGATGTGTTTTAAATGACAGGAAAAAATTGGCTGGAGGAATGATTCTCTACATTTGCTGGTGTTTGTGAGTGACGCTGATTCCCATTTTGGGATGGACAGTAAACTGGCAGGGATTGTTATTCCTAATGATGGGAACTGCCATTTGGACCACAATAATGAATATTCCATGTCAACTGTTCAGGTAATTACCGACAAATTTTGTACACTCTCACATTCTGGAAATTTAAAGACTAACACAAACAACTTAGAAAATTAGTGAATTACACTTTTAGCATTGAAATGTGTGAAAGCTAGGGAATCCAGATATTTCATACAATCTATTTTATTTGTAACTGCTTGTTTCAATAAAGAGAGAGCAGTGTGTTTGTATGGAATTAGGATAGATTATACCTAAGAAAAAAGAAAGAAAAAATACTATTTCTACAACAGGAAAGCCCGTGGAATTAGACTAAATAGTATTTCCTTCTGCAGGGAAGGCAATATTTGCATTAATTATGTTCCCTGAAAGGGTGTGAATTCAGGACCAGCTCAGGAATCTGCAGGACACTGTTTCTGTACGAGAACTTTCCAGTTTAGGATTCAGTGTTCAAAAATACTGAATATATACACTATGGTGTTCATTGTAGGACAAACACCGTTGTTCTGGTGCAGTGTAGTTCTTTGGATTAAATATGTATATATAACACAGATGCTACTAAGCCAAAGCCCCCACTATGGAATCTGGCTATGTACTTTTCACAGAGGGGTTTCCTTAAAAACAACATGAGGAAATTATATGCACTATATTTTATTTTGTATATGTATATTCCTAATTAAAGTTTATACTACACAGAGAACAAAGTAGTCATTATGATCACTTGAATGTGTCTTTCATGGGAGACAGGAACTGAAAGAACATGAGAAACAGATTTATGTGCCTCTCTTTTGTTTGTTTGCAGGAGTATCCTACAATTGGACAATTAATTGACAAACTCGTGCAAAACAATGTTCTATTAATTTTTGCTGTAACAAATGAGCAAGTTCACATATATGAGGTGAGCAAACTATAATGTTCAATTTGGCAGTGAAATGAAAGTTTTGGCATTTCACTTCTCTTGAAAAGCTTCAGTGGTGGAGATTCTGTAGTCTCCCTCAAAAACCTTTCCATTTATCCTCTTAGGTGGAAAGATTCTCCCCAAATATCTCATCTCAAATCTACTTGAACTCAGCTTCTAATTACATCAGATACCAATACTGACTATTGCTATTTATAACTGAGTTCTCAGGGACAAGCTTACATTAAAATTACTGTGAGGACTTAAAAAGCACCTCTTTAAATAGAATTGATAGATTCCATTAGTCTTAAGTGCAGTGTTCAGACTGTCAAATATATATTTTGTATTTCTAGCCCTGCATAATCCCTAACAATTTAGCCAAAAATAATTCAGTCATGTATTATTTTTGATCCTCTTCAACTGAATTTTCAGTTTATCCACTTACATGTGTATTATTGTCTAACACAAATCTTAGGGGTGGCACAAGCACAGAACACCTATGCTTGTAACAGAGCTCATGTTGCTTTTGAACCTTCCATGTACTAAAAAGCTACAGCACAGTAACCTCAAAAGATTATTTAGATCTGAGGCAAGAGAAGAGAGAAAATTCTCTACACTAAGCCCTGATAATTGGAGATTATTTTTTTAAAGGATTTGTGTTTTTTTAAAAAAAAGGTATTTTCTAATACATTCATGTATGTCTAACTTCTAGCATCATTAGTCTCAGCTCAGTCTCGCCCAAGCATCATGGGATATTTTCATTCTATAAAAACTATTCACTCAAAAAGCATCTGTGAATATGGCAATAATAATTATATTTTAACAAAGCTTACTTTGGTACAAAAGAAAACACTGGTCTTTAAGCTTTCATGAAGTAGTTGCAACTACTGCTGATATTATTTGTTTTCAAGCAAAATTCTTTAAAAATGTATTCAAACTTAGATAAGGGAAAAATTCCATCTTTAGTCCTGACTAAGCAGCACTTTTTTGAAAAAAAAGTTACTCTTTTTTGGATGAATTATTTCTTTTCTATATCACAGGAGAAATACCTTGAAAATTAGGGTTTCAGGCTGTATTGCACTACTGAAAATTGAACTAAGGATACTCTAGTCTCCACACTCATACAGAATTTCAAATTATTTTAATATATTTGGCGTGGCATGCTATTTATGATGAAAATTCTTCTATCATTTACACTGCTAAAATATAGACATAACCCCACTGAGCTCAAATATATAATTGTCAAATTTCTTTTACATGAATCAGAGTACCCCTATAAAATGGCAGTTCACCTTTTAATGAATATTTGCCAAAGGACTAAATTCCATCATATCCTTTGGATGTTTTGCAATAGCAGCACCCCAAAAGTATCTGTCTGCCTCATCTTGGCAATGGTTGAACAGAAATATTTGCTAAGAAGTGAGGTTTAACCAATGACCTGGAGACACACACTCGGCCTGGGCTTGAAATACCATCCTTGTATCACCATGCAGAAAATTTTTGTTCCTAAAGGAGAGATCAACCAAAGTGTTCAGAGCAGCATATCCCTGCTGTTTGTTTTGCATACCACAGATTAAAGGGGACTGTATTTTAAATCCCAGCTTTCTCTCAGAAGGTCCACATGTACCAAACACAGAGTTTCAATATTCCAAGAGTACTTGAGAGGGCACTAATCACAGGAGGAGTCAGGAATGCAAAGTTGCCAGCTGTAACATAAAATGCAGTTAATCCCACTGATTTACAATAGCACCAGAAATCTAACGAATGACAACTATTCCATACATAATACAGAAAATAATCACAGAGCTTTTGGAGATATGAAGGATAAGAAGGATACAAGAGTATCAAATTATCCATGTTTATTAATAGTTCTTTGGATATTTTCCTTTTATTTAAAATAACAGCATTGATATGAAAATGTGTAAAGGAAAACTAGTGCTACAATGTTTTTTTTTAAAAATATGAAGACATTGTTTTCCAAAGACATGGGCTAAAGCAAGGGAAGTTCACATAGTTAACAATTAAGTAAGAAAATTTTAATATTCACAGTATTTTAAATCTAGTTGTCAGATATCACGTTAGTGTCACAGTGAAACAATGCAAAAACAAAAGACAACTTATCACTGAAATAAATTGCTAAATTGGTACTGTATTATTCACAGAAATTCAACATACAATCCATCAGAGCCACAGAGCACTGAGATACATGTGCAAAGATAAAAAAGTGACTGCAGCTGCTGAATGTAGGGTCCAAGACTCTTGAGCAGTGCAACGACAGTAGAGGAGCTGAATCTGTTTCTGGATATTTTTGTTAAAGAGAAATACCACTGTTGATAAAACATATCTTCCCTCTAAATCTGAAAAATTAGCGCTTGAAGGATACTATAGTATCGAACTTCCAATCACATAGAGGTGATTTAACAATATATCTTCAATGAATTTTAAATGAAACCAGCTTTTCTCCATCTGACTTTTTCATTAAGACATGTGCAATGGAGACTGCAAGAATCTTTGAAAATATTACTGTTATTTATTTCACTTGGCTTCAGTTTACTTGGTTTTCTTGTTAGCTCCTTCATTTTTGTTTTGGATTTTTTGTTTTGTTCGGGGGGCTTTTTGTTTGTTTGGTGTTTTTGGGTTTTTGGGGCGGTTTTTTTTGGTTTTTTCTTTCTTTGGGTTTGCGGTTTTTTTAGATGGTAGCTCCTTGGCACCTAGACTTTTGTTGTGCTTTAAATGAATCTTTTATATTTCCAGAATTATGCAAAGCTTATTCCTGGTGCTACCGTTGGACGACTACAGAAGGATTCTGGAAACATTCTCCAGCTGATCATTGATGCATATCAGGTAAGATGGGTACAATGCAGCTTCTTCCTTCATATTTACATGTTTGACTTTGGTTTGCAGTTTGGTAGAAAAATGTGTCTTTGATTCCCTTTTTGAACTGATTCCTTTCATGAAACTGAATGATTACATAATTTTTTATATTAGGTGTTGACCTTAACAGGAAAAGTGTTCACTCTGAGGATTAAGTAAGCACAGAAACAAAAGTCCTATAACCTTCTGTCAATACTTAGTGCTGCTGGAATGCTGAATTTAAATCAGTGTGTCATCTGCATATTCCTGTATTTTACACCTAGTTTTAAGCCTTCTTTAATATTCAGTTCTCTCAGTTCCACATCTCAACAGGGACTCAAGTCTCTCCTTGTTGGTAGCTGCCACCAGAGCAGACAAACAATTGCTTTGCAGGAATATCTGGGGAAAAAAACTACTATTCTGTGCTCAGCGCTCTTCTCTGCTTTAGCAATTTGATGCTGCCTCTGTGAGGCTGTTCTGAGGTTTTCAGAGAGAGAATATGGGAGCAACAGGGGTTTGTTTAGGTAATGCCAGGACTTGAACGGGTTTGTTTAAGTAATACAAAGAAACACTTTAATTATGTCAGGAACATAAACACAGCACTGCTCTTCAGAGCTTTGTTTGTAAAATGCATCCTGGGTGCCTAGTTCTGTTCTGTCAGAGGAATGGTTTTAGGCAGTTGTACAGATCTTTGCACAGATATATCAATTTACAAATATGCTGATATTCCATAGATTTCTCTGTTCTGTCTCAGCCGATTTTTGTTAAAAACCTGCTCTACCAGTTGTCTACAATGACAAATAACCCTTTGCAAATAGCTTCTGTTTATTTCCTTCCTTTTCTTTCTGCTCTTCTTTCTATCACCTGAATAAGATAGTCATCACTGTACCAAAATTACTTTGGTCTTAGTGATAAGAAGGAAACCAAATTCTTCTAACTCTTATAAAAGCAATGAAGGCAATGCAATTTATGAATTACGACTTTTTAAAATGAAATGCAAAATACCAGGAATTTCTCCATTTTATGAAAAATTATAAGGAGAGAACTTCAGGGTTAATCTTACAAGTGTACAAATTTTAATAAATAAAGATGAGGAAATTTTCTTATGAGCAAAGTTATTGCTTAATTTTGAGTGGCAATGGAATTTCACTTCTGGATTGCAACCTGCTCCTAGTCACATCTGGTTCCTATCAGCAATTTTTCAAGCTGGCAGTCTAACGTATAGACACAGGTTCCTACATTTAATAGCTGAAATGCCATTTTGTTGTCAGTAAGTAATGGAAAAAAAACACACAAAAATTGTCCCAATGCTGTGTCCTGGTGTTTTTGCTGTAACATAAGTTGCCTCACTGGAATATTGAAAATGTGAGGCGTGAATCCTTGCCTCTTCTCCTTAGCATCTCCTTATGTTCCTATGGCCTGTGATTTTTTCCCTATTCTCCTTTTTGAGCCTGCTGATATTTTTGGCTTCTGTTGCCTTCTATGACAAGGAGGGGTTCAGTTCCACTGTCTCAAGGCACAATTTTCTTATTCCTATTTTAACCTACTTCTAATGCTTTAAATTTTCACTGAGTACACCCTAGCTCCCGAGTTGTAGGGTATGGTGAATAACAGCTCTGCATTCACCTTATCTTTGTGTTTTCATTATTTCATTACATTGTGTCACTGAGACACCTTCCACACACCAATCTTCTCTCCAAATTAGAGTCCCAGTCCTTTAAGTCTCTCCTCGGCTGCTCCATCCCCTTGGTAACTTTATCTGACCATCTGTTTACCCTCCCTGACTCTCATGAGTGCCTCATGAGATGTGCAGCCCACAAGAGCTTGCAGTACAAAGTGAGGGCACACTGGGGTTTATACAAAGGCACAGTTATGTCCTTTGCCTTGTCCCCAGCCTCCTGGCTCTGTTGGCTTTTTAGCTGCTGCATGCTTTGAGCAGAGCAGGCCCCAGAGTTGGCACCACGATGCAGCTCCCGAGCAGTTTGGGCTGATCCTGCTCTCGTCTGTTCCACGGGCACGGGCTGGAGGAGCTCCGAGCCCTGCAGCAGTGGCAGGGAGGTGGCTGCAGGAAGGCTGCTCCTGCCTTTGGGCCATAACTTGTCACAACCTCATCCAGGCACAGCATGTCTGGACCACGCACCAGACATGGTGCAGGGCTGCACGTACGTTCTTAAAATCCCACATTTCTTTCTAGATGTAAGAAGTGTGCAAGTTGCGACATGTCACACTCAAAATTTCCCAAAGTCCATTTTATTACACTTAACCTTAAAGGTTAACAATCTTATTGTTTTGTGATTGAAAAATCTTCCAAGCAGGAAGCTCTAAATACCCCTTTATTTGACAGGAGTGAAGGTATCTGAATTTTTTTCAGCTGTGAAGAAGGAAATGACAGGAGACCTACAGTTGAAAATCACATGCAAAGCAGAACTAATACTACTTTTGTTAGAAACTTTTCATTATACTCTCAGAAGTGCAATTCAATGTCCTGTGTCTCTGCTTCTTCACTCACAAGAAAAGAAATACATAACTTTTTGCCCCCTGGGAGTAGAGTTAAGCTAAATCTTTTAACACTTTTAAAGTCTTCTTGAGTGTTTACTTGCTGTGCAAACACAAGGTTTGCTAATGCCATTCACCATGTGTTGCCATATAAAAGCTTCAGAGAGGAAGTAAGCAAGTTAAGAAAGTCTGAGCTGTCAAAATATTTGTTGAAAGGAGTTCTCATGTTCCTTCCAAGTATGGTTTATTTTCTTCTGTAAGCATATTTCTGCCTGCTTTGTTTAGCATTGAATTCTGCACAACTTCATGTTGCAGAGCTGTAGGCTAAAATGCTGTGTGACAGATAGCAGGCAGTTTGATTAAAGCCATTCCAAGAACTTAAAATTTCAGAAAAATTCCCCTTTTCCCCCCAGTTTTTAGTCCTTGTACTTACACAAAAATGTGAACAAAGAAATAAGGTATTAGAAAGGACAGGTAACAGAAGGGCACAAATATTTAGCACTTCTTTGTCTGTTGTTCCAGTCAGAAAAATTTTTGAACCACAAGTGTTTCTCTGTGAATGGCTTAAAGCTGCTATGGCCAGACAGCTTAGTAGTTTTAAAAAATGATTAGAAATACTCACATATATTAGGATCTAAAAACCTTGAATTTATTACTGTTTGTGTTCACTTTCAGCACTGTAAGATGAATAATTTGATCTCTCACAACAGCAAGACACATTCAAATGACCAAATACAGATTCCAGAATTCAAAGTATTACAATTTGGTGTTCAGCAGCATTTAGTTTTCTCTCATAGTTGCACTCTGTTTGCATCTTGTAATTTTGCAGCTAGTGGAGAGGGACTACTGGTGATACATCCTGCAACATAAGCACATGCCCACAGTCATAGCTTTACCTAGGGATTTGCTGGTTTGGGTCCTTTTGGGAGAGCCCAGCTATGACAAACAAATTATTATTGACAACTCTGCATTGTTTCAATAGCGACACAAGCACCTACCTCCAATCAAAGGGAAATTGAAATTTGGACATATCCAAACTCACCAGCATTACAAACCTGATGCCCAGGGCACAATTTTACAACCCTAAGACAAATTTCCTAGGAATCCAGAACATGTACGTGGGACAGGGAGTTGTCTATGCAGGTTTATACCTATTCTATTTTCACTTTAATTTACCCCACCAGACCTTTACTCCATTGAGTCATCCTGCTACCTTGAGTAGAATGACTCACTGAAGTAAGGTCAGCAAGTTCTCTGTGCTCTGATTGAAGGGCAGGGGGTATTTTGCAAGCAATTAAACTTCTATGAGCACAAAGTCAAGTCAGTGAGATGTTTTCTCAGCAGTTGCCGAGGTACTTTTGAAAAAATTCCATTTACTGGATCCACAGACTAATGAAGTCATAGGGAATTTCCCCATGGCCTGTGATAGGCTTTGGATTAAGGTTGTGTAAGCAAAGTTGCTGTAAAATATTTTAAAGACTTAAAATGTGGATACCTAGTATAAGTGATTTCAGAAAGAGTTTGTGACTCACAAAATGGAAGTTTGATGAACAAATTGATTTAAATAATGGGGATGTTGTTGAATACAGGTTAAAATAGCACAAACAGCTCATGAAACAGGAATTTCCATTGTGAGAAGAAAGGAAGGGAGGGAGCAATATTGAGACAGTTTGGCTAATCAGGAAAAGCCCAGACCTAGCAAAGCAATCAGGGACACAAATCCACTCCTCAGAAAGTCCAGACCTAAAATCAGTCAGCAGAGTTATGAAAGGTGATTTAATAAAACATTGAATTTCTTCTCCTGGAAAGGCAGGAAATAAGCCCTGTGATAGCAGATATTAAAGTGATACCACCACTGCTTTCCACTTAAAGCTGGGCCTGTCAGCATTTGCTTTATTTTGCTCGTTCCCCATTTTTCTTGCAATAGAGGGCTCTGTAAGCAAAGTGCCAAAGCACAAGTGTGCTCCTGTGTAAGTCAGGATAAATTACAGACCACATTCTTCAGATGCGGAGCAGTAGCAGCACATCCAGTGTTATCACTCCATTCATCTCACATTTTTTTCCTTGAAGGAGCTGAGGTCTGAGGTTGAATTGGAGATCCTGGGAGAGACGGAAGGGCTCAATCTCTCCTTCACGGCCATCTGTAACAATGGGACCTTTTTTCCACACCAGAGGAAATGCTCTCATGTGAAAGTGGGAGATACAGTAAGTGAAGAAATTCTCCAAAGACATGAAGTTCATATAATTTAGGACACCAGGGTAGAGTTTGCTCTTTATTAAACGATCTTCCCCCAGACAAGTCACCAAAAAGTAGGCAGTATCTATGACCCTCTTGCTCTGTCCTCTGCATGCACTTCCTGAGCACCCTGCAGAGTTCCCTGTGCTCCCAGCAGCCCCGTTCTCTCTTCCAGGTCTCTTTCAATGTGACTGTTAGTCTCTCTTCTTGTGAAAAAACCAGAAGGCTTATCAAGATAAAACCCGTGGGGCTCAGCGACGTGCTGGAGATGGAAATTCTCCCCCTCTGCAGCTGCGACTGCCAGGCCAAGGCCGAGAAGAAGAGCCCCAAGTGCAGCCAAGGGAAAGGCTCCCTGGAGTGCGGGGTGTGCGTGTGCAGCCCCGGCTACGTGGGGCCGCGCTGCGAGTGCCACGAGAGCTCCCTCGGTGCCAGCTCCTGCAGGGGCCCGGCCGAGCAGAGCTCCTGCAGCGGCAGAGGCGACTGCTACTGCGGGCAGTGCCTGTGCCACCCGTCCCCCTACGGAAAGGTCTACGGGCCCCGCTGCGAGTGCAATGACTTCTCCTGCGTCAGGCACCGCGGCCTGCAGTGCGCAGGTATGGCCCTCAGCGCTGCTGCTGCTGCCCCACTCAGGGCTTTGTGGGCTGGGAGCTTGGGAATTTGTATTGTCATCACGTATTTGTTCGTTTGTATTTTCAGCGTTTCGGTCGCAATCAATTCGGTATAAAGAATTGCTAGTTATGAATGGCCTTGCGACTTAAATTAGTCTCAGCTATGCCATTATAAATCAGAAGTATTTACAAATTAGGTCGTGCGCTGCCAGGAGACAAGATCTGCATGGAGGGCTCCAGTAAGGAGAATGGAGCTGCACTGGCTTACAGCCGGGATAAGCAAAAATCTGATCTTCTGACTTAAAACTGAAGATTCTGGGAGAAAAAGAAAGCTGTTAGGAAGAAGAGTTGGAGAGAGTAAAATATTTTCTGTTAAAGAGAATAATTTTAAAGCTCATCCTTCATATTCTTTTTGAATTACCAGTGACTGATTTGAAGTCTAACAAATGTTTTTCCAGGCAATGGTGACTGTGACTGTGGGGAATGCAGGTGCCACAGCGGATGGACTGGTGAATACTGTAATTGCACAACTGATACCAGCAGCTGCATTGCTGAGGATGGGACGCTGTGCAGTGGGAGAGGTGAATGCATCTGTGGGACGTGTGCTTGCACCCATCCGGGGGCTTCGGGCCAAACGTGTGAAAAATGCCCTCTCTGCGGTGACCCCTGCAGTTCCAGATGGTAATGTGGTGGCTTTAAACCTCTGATGTTTATATCACCCAGGTATCTATTTCCTATACTGCCTCAGCAGTGTGTTTACTGCCATGTCTGTAAACTGGATTTACAGACCAGAACCCAAGAACTTCTTTGTCCTTTGAGGTGGGTAGTCACAATCATATATCAACCATTCATGAGCATTGCTCTTGTACAAAAGGACTTTATGTGAAACAATTAAGTCAAGTTCAAGAAGCACGGGTAAAACTTTACACTTCCACTGCTGTCCCTGGCTGTACAACTAATCAGAATGGTGGCCTTATCTGACACCTATATGGCCTCACAGAAAAATATGGCATTTGTATTACCATTCTCATACATATGAATAAGGTCATGTTGTCCACTCAAGCTTCACACATTCACAAATTCATAGTCCAAATTCAGTTAAGCTTGGTAAAATTAAAAAAGTGTAAGTATAACAAACTAGATAATAGTCTGGGAATTAATAAGTGGGTAGCTGTATGTCGTGTATAGGTTGATGATAAATTGATTGTAAATGGTGAAATGTCTTCCGTCCACTGAACATCCTCAATTTATGCAGCTTTCCTGCTGTGATGCAAGGTGTCTGCTATGGTGCATGACAGGAAAAGCAACCAAAAATACTCAGGTTGTCAAGATGACCACTCTAAGTACACCATTTCTTGTGCTTGTATTACATGAGCTCTTGTAGGGCTACAGTCCAAATGGAGCAGTCTTCAGCAGAAATTTAAACTAGAAGTTGGATTAGACTTCACAGAACACATGTTATTAATGACCCTGGCTTTGCTTTCTGAGTACCGAGCAGTTTAGGCTGCACGGTTCATGATGATTTCCTGTCTTCTTATTCAGAGTTGAGATCCATTTCTCACCAACACTGTATTTTCATACCTGTCACTGCACTCTGCAGTGTATCTGAGTGAAAAGCTATTCTATGATATGATTAATTCATCGATCTCTTCCTGTTAGTGCTAAATTTGCCCTAAGAAAACTGAGCCTTTCAGTATGTTCAAAGAGAATTTCTGCATGCAACTGCTCTAAACAAAAAGGACAATGCTGCTGCTTTGCTCTGCCCAATTTGTCAAAGAATAAGAAATATAAAGTTACATGATAGGCATTACATTAACCCATTTAAACATGTATTTTGTATGCAGTGTTGGATCTTTTCTTTCAGTTTCAGTGTCTTCCCATGCTGAAACACAGGGCACAAAAAGCCAAGAGAGAGAAAACCCTGGGAGTACCTGGGAGGGTTACTGAGAGAGCTGAAAGACCAGGTCAGAGGGGGTGGAGATCAATGGCAAGGCAGCTGAGAAAGAGAGTGTAGCATGAGAAACATGGTGCATATGACAAAACCACCACCAATACGGAATTTATCTCCATGAGATAGAGGCTATCCCATTACCCACTCACTTTTACTATTCACCATTTCCAGAGTGAGGGATAAGGTCACCTCCATCCCCTGATGATAAACTCAGCAGCCTCAGCTTATTCCCATGGATGTATGTAACTCAATGCAACAGGAGATAGCCAGGGGTTTTTTTATGTTTTGTTGCAGTTCTCCTTTTTCCTCCTCTCTTCTCTCCTCTCTTCTTCTCTCCTTTTTTTCTCTTTTTTTTTTTTTTTGTAATGAAGTCAGACCTTCAGGCTGCTTCTCAGAGTCTCAGCCACTCAGTTTGGCTGAAGCAATTTGTGAAAAATTAGCAAACATATTTTCCATCAGAAATGTTCATATATGAATTAGGTCTGTTGTTTTATTTTCCATTAATAGACCCTGGATTTATTAAAATCCTCATTAAATTTACAGAGAGATTCTGGTTTTAAATAGTATTTCAGTCATTTCCACCACTGAATAAAAAATTTTCCTGTAAGTTACATTAGTATAAATAGGATCTAAGTAATTCCTGAGACAAGTAAACATATTCAAGAGACAACTGTTTAGACACCTGGAAAGTGTTTTAATGCATTATTCAATAGACTTGCAACAAAGGCAAACTCATAGTAGGCGCCTGAGCTTGATCTCTTTGAAGTCAATTTCAGATATTGTTCATCTGATAGGAATTCCTTCAGCTGGTATTTAGTGTGAGAATATTTACTGTTCGGAATATATTTTTTTTTTAAATTTTTGAAGAGGAATGTTACATGTGAGTAACCACATATCTGATAGACCTACATGAATAATGTTGCCTGGGGTTCTGTCTGGTAGCTAACAAACTGGGAGAGAATAGAGGACAAGACAGAGCTTATCCTGTATAAATACCTTTATTCAGGTGGGGTTTTTTTTTTCCCCCTTTGGTTTTGTTAGGATTTTTTTTGGTGGCAGTACCTATCATATTCCTGAGAACTGTATCCATAGCAGAAGACCTTTTATTTAGCTGCTTTTTAAAATGCAGATGCACACATGCTGGCTTTTGTATTGTTGCTTTGTGGCAGGCAGAGATTGATGAGCTGCTGAATTATTTTCCACAGGAGCTGTGTGGAATGTCACTTGGCTTCTGATGACAAGTCACTGGGAGATTGCAGTGAAAAATGCAAATTGGTTGATGCAACTGTCAGCATGGCAAAGGGTTAGTATACTCAATCTTCCTTTCTTGTGTGTGTGTGATTAACAGGAGGTTCCACTTTCAGTAATTTTATATTTGAAAGTAGCCTTGTTTTTCTGCTATGGAATTATATTATGGGTCATAAGGGAATTACTGTCTGTCTATGGCTCTTCTGAGGCAAGTAGGAAATGCAGAACAGGTCTGGCATAACCCTTCCAGGTAATTAACTCATTGGATCATGCCTATTTTCTAAATAGTTTATGCAGGAAAGTGTAGAATTTAATAGATACCAGTCCCTGCATATCAGTGATAGATGAAAGTTCCTGAGTTTGTTATGCCTGTACCATGAGTTCCAGCCGGGCTTCTTCAGCCTTACAAATACAAAACCTGACTCCAGTCCTTTTAGGCAGATTCCTGATTACAGCTGGTGACTAAACACAGCCCTTTAACCTGTGGCAAAAACATTTCTTGTATTCTAAAAGGCCAGGAACATATTTCAGCTGTTTGCTTTAATTCAAAAGTGCCCTGCATCAATGGAAATTTCTGGAATAGGAATTAATCTTGAATAAAATAGTACTATTAGGGAACAACCCAACAAACCCCACCACAACCCCAATACAAACCTTTAAATAAAAAAGGGCAATTTTTTTTTTTTTCTGTAAAGGAAGGTGCCGGCTCAGCAGGCAACCTGTATTTATTCCAGTGGCAATTCTAGTCCCAACCCTATGGTACAAGGCAGGACATGGGCTAGTTATGTCCACATCACAGATGTACCATAAGCATTAAACAAGATAAATGTAAGAATGAAGATGAATCCTCATTCATTCATGTGGGCATGTCTAAGGTTTGTATCTGCAAGCTCTTGGCAGCCTATCCAGAGCTGTGTGCATGCAGTAATGTCACTGGTGTGCATCCTTCCAGCAAGGTCACACCTTTTGTTTTTGATGGAAATATTTCAGTATATATTTATAAATATAAAAATATCTTTACAGGCTGAAAAGACATATAAGCACTTGTATTGTATGTCTTCAGTTAGTAAAGTCTTCAGATTGCTTTTGTAAGATGGAAGATATTTGTAGCTAGGAATATGAAAAATATTATCAGGATCAGCCTTTTATATGGTTCTGTTCACATATAGAGGTCACAGGAATATGACCATGACAATATCATCTGCTATTCCAGCATATTTCCTTGTTTTCCTATCCTGTGTTTCCCTGATTGAGACTGTCAGCTACTTCTTTAGATTTAAAATTTATTTACAGCAGTTACTGCAACCTTCATGTTCCCATCCAGATGCCTCAAAAAACAAAAAAAAAGAAGCAGCTGTTTCAAACAGTTTCATCTGAAATGCTTGGGTAGCCTCATCAAGAAGTCCTGAAATAAAAAAATTAACATTTAAAATAATAGCTAAAATATAATCATAGAATAAAAACTATTATCTGAACAAAACCCACCAATCTGAAAGTGGTAAAACTAGCACACCACATAATATTTAAGACAGATTATTGAGCAACTTAATAGGGTAGTATACTTCTTTCTGGTTTATGTTTTAGTTTCTTTAATGTTTCAAGGCTTTTGGGGAGAGAAAAAAGTAAAAGTTCGAGGTTAAACAAAACATTAGCACTTCAAAAATTTTGTTTCTCTTTTGCACATGGATGTTGCAACACAATGACTGGAAGTGTGAAGCAACAAAAAAGCGTGGGCTTTACATTTTCCTGCTTCCTGGGAGAGCCCATTTTAGGCTGTGACTCGTGCCTTTCACCTCCCTGCTTTGGTTCTGGGTTTTCCAGGGGTTTCTTCTCTGGCTCCCCACCAGCAGGTGAGGTCAGCCCAGGGCTCTGCCAGGGCATGGGTGCCCAGCAGCTCTGCAGGTGCTGGTGGCTTCACATCTGCTGGGCTGATCTCCAGAGCAGGCACCACTTCCAAACTTCTATTTTCATTCACTTTTAATACTTGAACATTTCAATTAGGTTAATCACCCATTTGCCACACAGGTGTATGAGGAGCTCTTGTTGCTCTACTCACTACACAACAAAACTCCTCAAAGGCATCTCCTGCCAGCACCCAGCCACAGGGCACCAGGCTGCTCCTGCCACAAGCCCAGCAGAGCAGGGACAGTTGTACTTTCCTTAGAGAACCTAAGTTTTTCCTACCCCATAGTGCTGACACCTCACAAATTCCCAGTGCAGCAGCAAAGTGGAGGCTGAATAAACCTCTACGTCAGCACTGCTCTCTTATGAGTCAGAGTGAGGTGAACTCTGCTCAAAAAAGCATTTTGTTGAGCAAAAAGCAAACACAAAAGGCCTTAATGACATTTAAATTTACAGTCAACATTTTTGGTGTTGAATCTTTTATAAATGTATCTGCTGTGAAACAGTCTTTCATGCTTTGAGTCTCCTGCTTGCCACTGTTACCCGATTTCTCCTCCAGTGTGACTCCAGTTATTTCAAATACAATTTAAATCACCAGAATTAGGCTGCAGAAGAGTGTGACGATTCACTGCAGAATGCAGAAGATTACACAGATGTAAATTATAGGAGTTTACCTACCTAGGCAAATTTTTATGCTGATGAACTGCAAATAACATATGCAATGGTCTCTCTTTAGTGATCCCTCACTCTAAAAATAATATCAGAGAAATAAAAATGCTGACCATAAGCTGGATTCTGAATAGCTTGAACTGGCATTTTTGCTTTCATTTCTACATCATTGCACATAATCAGTATTCTGCTCCCCTTCCTTTCAAATTATGACATTAAACAAAAAATTACCATGTAAAAATAACTAATCTATGTACAGTTACTGCCTTGTAAATTATATTTGGTATATGCTTGCAAGTTTTTCTCCATTTTCAGGATAGCTAACAACTATCCTTGCCCATTTTTTTTCCCTCTTGCTAAGCAAGTTAGTATTTTGAGTCTGCTTGCTTAAAAGAGTTGGGAAAGTACAAACATTGCAAAACTTTTGACAGTGTTACTGGAACTGTGACATGCCAGCAAGAGCCATAAGTCTGCAGTTCATGGCCCTTCTAACAAAATCAGATCTTGTTAAATCAGCAGGTCTAGGCTGCCTGTCCCCTTGGTAGATAACACAAGGTGCTGCCATCAAGGGCCAGGAACAGGTTAAATACAAGGCTCAAATCAAGAACAGGTTTCCATTAAAATCCAACCAGCTAGGGTTTTCTCTTTATAACAAGCAGAGAAAAGGACTGGAGGGTAGTCAATAGTTCCATCTTTTCTATGGTGTTTAGTAGTATTTTCTGTAAGACCAAATCTTATGATAATAAGCAATATGGTGAAGAAAAACTAGAGCAAGCATTTTTTTTTTTAATGTAGTGTAGATTTTTTTTTAAATGCTCTATTCTTGTCTGATTTCTATTCAATTACTCTTCATATTAAAGTCTGAGGATTTTAAGATTTTTAGCACAATTGCTTATGAAATTTCATTAAGAGTTTTGAATGGGTAGAAAATAATGGTCAGTGACAATTATTTTAAAGAAATATTTCAGAAGCCTACTGTTTTTCCTTCTTCTAAAAATAAATCCTATGAACTTTGACTAAAAGATATTGAAAAGCATACCTAGATTTTCAGTGACATCTCAAATCATGGACTACATGAACATATAAACATTTAGCCCCAGAGGTATTACTGCACACAGGTATAGAGTATTTCTTCCTCTGTAAAATGTTATATTAAAGTTACACTCCAAATGATGACATTTCTGACTCTGCACTTGTACTCTCACTTTTTGATTGCTTATTTGCTTTATATTGTCCCTCAAAGTCAGCTTCCTTCTGTCTTTCTGTTCCCTTTGAATGAGTTTTTCTCAGCTCCCCAGTTAGGAATAACCTGGAAGGAAAAAATGGATTAAATTTTTGTGCAATCAACAGTAAGTGGAGGAATGAATAAATAGGGTCAGACTGTCATCTCAGGTCACTTTGTTTGCTTCATCCAGAATCCTGTTACAAAAATCTCAGATTCTGTTATTAATCTTTATTATTCTGTGGTTAATCTTTACTTACTGTTACTCTTGTAACAGTGCTGGACACGCAGTGACCTTTGAGGGGCCTGATGTGTAGGAAATGAATGGCAGCCCTTTTAATAGCACCCACAGCTGCTTGATGTATGTATATCTACTCTGAAACATGATCCACAGGTGGCAGGAGGAGTTGCAAACCAAAGGAACATACTTTGTTCCACTGGTTACTTTGTCCCATAATTTGGGGCTATTACATTTCCTGGACAGCTGCCAGTTAAGAGTTTTGGGAGCCTTTCCAATTCATTGAAATTCACAGGACACTAAAGTAACAAGGTGCACTAGATGGTTAGTGCAGATTGACAACATCTGGATCAGTTCTTTGGAAATATAAGTGAAAAATCAGAAACTAAATAAAATTGGGATTGGAAGAAAATCCATTAAATTTAGTAGAAATTCTGACAGTATTTCTGCTTTGTCTTTCACTCTTCACCATCTGCAGACAAGGCTGTGACAAACATGATGCCAGCAGTCTCTCTGGTTATTAAAGGTTAAATTTCATTTGAGCTGATGAATTACTATTTTCCTTTCCTCTGCAGATTATTCAGAGGATAAATCCATTTCCTGCTCTTTGCAGGGGGAAAATGAATGTATAACCACATTTCTACTGGCTGTGGATGAACAGGGAAGGACAGTCATTCACAACATAGAGCGGAAAGGTAAGCAGTGAATATTGGTTTTTGTAGGTGAAATCTGATTTAAAACCACAGACAAGGTTAGCAATCTAGAAGCAGAGCTCTTTGAAGCAGAACATCTCCTCCTTGTGTTTGTAGCTCTTCTCTGCCCAGCCAAAGAGCTCCTCAAGCATTTATTTAATGCAGTGGTGACATAAATACTTGGCCTTTCATGAAAAATGGGCAGAATGATCCTTGGGCTGTAAGAATAAGTTAATTTTTTTCCATAGCTTGTGCAGTTCTAAGAGGATGATACCAAACATCATTTGCATTATGTGATAAAACCATAACTCACTTTGAAATTATATATGCAAATGTGCTTGTAACAAAGGTTGTACTAAAGAAGCACACCTCTTAAACTACATCCCTAAATCCCTAGATTCAAGCATTTAAAGGTAAGATTTTATCTTTATTAAATACTTTATTATGCATTTTAAGTAGATTTGACAAAAAAAAAAAAAAAAAAAAAAGAACAAGAAATATCTTCTTTTCACTGACCTCTGTGAGTTCATTGACCTCTGTGTAATGGCATTCCCACAACACTACAATAACCAGTTTCACTGTCATCTGCTGTTCTGCTCCTGGACCTTGAAATGTGAACTGGGATGAGACCCCAAGAAATTCTCTAGGAATAGAATTTCATTCATGGAACAGAAGTCAATATGGCACCAGTAGCCAGAACAGCAGCCCAGGGCTCAAAACAGAGCCCCTCAGAATTAGTTAACTGAGGCCATCAAGCAAAAACAGAATGTGAAATACAATCATGTAAGACAAGCCAGACTGGAATGAATTTTTTTAATGTTCTGAAAACATGGTTCAGGAAAAAATTTTGTAAAATAGTAGTGTTCACCAACTTTCATAGACAGTACTTTCTAATATTAAAAAATTCAAACTTCTTTGAGTTTTGGTGAAGCAAAAATTTCAGTTTTAATTCTAACCTTCTGAAATATTTTATTGTAAAATTTATTGCAGAATTTGAAATGCAAAATTCCTTCCAGTTGCGCAGTCCAACATTTTCAACAAATCTGAAGGAATTTTTTCCTCATTGTTTTCATGAGAGAAATGCAGTTTCCTCTAATTTCTCAATATCTTTGGTGACTTTACCCTGACATAGATCTCACTAGAATATTTTCTTCTGCAACACACTGAATATCAGTTAATTGAAATAGAGTCCAGCCATAACATTGTAAAATTGATAATTTTGTCAACTCAGCCCTGTTTTTTATATTGAAACAGATCTGAAATCGATTTTCTGACTTTTCTCTTCAGAATCTGTGTCTGTATCCAGCAAGCAGCTGCTAATTGTGATGGTAAAAGAGCAGTGGAATAATTTAGGAAATAATTTTTAAAACATTTTAATGCAATATTTTTCAGCTGGTTTCACAAATCCTTTAGCAAGCTAACAGGAGAAAAATAATGAACTTGAAGAAAAAGATGTGCCCAGCTCATGGCAAATGAGAATCTCAGCGCATCTCTTGACTGTTTTTAATTGCCTAAAATTTATTAATTAGCTATTCACAGTCATAACTGTTGTTGTTTCCACAGATTGTGCACAGCACCCAAATATCCCAATGATAGTGGTGGGTGTCACCCTTGCTATCCTTCTCATTGGCATTGTTTTACTTTGTATATGGAAATTACTGGTGTCACTTCAAGACCGAAAAGAGGTGGCCAAGTTTGAAGCAGAAAAATCAAAAGTTAAATGGCAAACGGTATGTGAAATACATTGATTTTGTACAAGGTTCTTTATTTTGATTGCATGATGCACAACTGCCTTTAAAATTCTGGGTCTTTATTTTGTTCTTTTAAATGGATAGGTCTTGCTGGTAGGTTTTTGACACATTTACTATTCTATAAAGTAAAATAATGATCCTTTAATGGATGAAAATTATCTAGTGTTTCATCTCCTGGTTTAATTTCTTCCACATGTAAGAATGTGTAGATAACTGGATTAATAGTTTTTAATTAGTAGCCAGTCTTCCACTAGTCCTAACAATGCTCTTGCCTGCCTGTGTGATCATCCAAGGTGTAGCCCTCTGCCTGTTTAGAGCTGTTTAGGAAAGGGAGGTTGTTCCTAGCCTCTGTCATGACCCAAGCCCACTCCCACCGAGCAGAAGTGAATGGAACTGTCCCAAATGCAGGGGAAAGGACAGAGAAATCCAAGCCTCCTTTTCTATCTGTAACTCTGGGCACCTAAAGTAAGCTTGCACCACATGTTCCCTTTTCTTCTTTTTTTTTCTGCCCTTGACTTTTTTGCCCTTTTGCAAAAGCTTTAGGGCTTCTGAGGATCTTTTCGAAAAAAGCATGTTGAGTAAGCATTTCTGGCGGGTGTCAGGAGGACAGACAATGTGCTCACATGGCTCCACTCTCCTCAAAGTCCTGTGATTGCAACTTTTTCCAAGAATGGGCACTGTCAGCCTTTCAGCTTTTGGCCTGGGGAAAATCACTAACTTACAGGCAAGGCCACCTGAGAATGTTTTCTTGATGCTTCAGGAGAGCTAGGTATGGTAAGATGGATGGGAAGGATACAATTGATAGAAGCATTTTAATTTTATTTTCTGTCACAAGAGGAAAGGATAGGAAGTGATTGGTGAGAGGCCAGGATGAAAAGCTCAGGTGGGACTTGCCCTTCTCCCAGCACACAGTAGGTACTGTATGTGACAAGACAACAATGACAAGTCACATCTGACTGCTGAGACACTCTGTGGTTTTATAAAGGTCTAACTGCCAGATTTGATACACAAATTTTATGGGACACATTTGATGAGGTATTGTTTGATGATGTGCATGACTTCAATCTGGGAGGCTGATCTGAAGGGAAGCATGTTCCTGAGTCCAGGATGGTTTGTGCTGTCTGAATTCAGATCAGTCTGGATTTCAGTGGCATGAAACACAACTGAGCTACCAAAAGATACTCTGAAATCCTCAAAGATACACTACTTCTATACAAATATTGTGTGACTCCCATTTAATCTCTCTTTTTTTTGGGTTTTTTTGTTTGTTTTGGTTTTGTTTTTTGGTTGTTTTTTTTTTTTTAGGAAACAAATCCACTGTACAGAGGCTCAACAACCACTTTTAAAAATGTGACTTACAAGAACCAAGATATGCATAAAAGACCCATGGCTGCAGACTTCTATTAGCACCTGCAACACTACAAACTTAGTTTCACTGGCACGAAATCTAAATCTAAACTTGTTTCTTCTCAGCTGATTATGTGATATTTGTTTACAAGTTGCAGTGGTATAACTGTTCTGTTAGAGAATATATGTCTTGTGTTGGGACAAATAAAGATAACATATTAGTAGTAAGGGTTAGTAGAAATATTTTTTAAATGATCCTTTATTGTTATAGCCCCCATCTTTTTAAAAATGGCATCAAAAATAATTTTAATGTTGTCATTAATACTGAGGATTCTAAATTAATATGTAAGCTTATTCTTTGTTAAATTAGATATATACAGTGAACTTTATACTATTTTGTCCATACACACAATCCCATAAATTAGTGTTTAGGAATGTATTTGTACCAGTCTATTTATTGGGCTGGTTTAAATGTAGAAAATATTTTGGCTTTTTTCATGAATGAAGTTTAAACTACTGTGGATTGAGCTTTCCCATATCACCTGTGTGACTGAATAATTTCTCACCCAAAAAAAAGTAGTGATATTGCCTGTCTTCTGTAAATGTAAGTTATACAGAAACATTTCTTCTCTAATTCTTCTTTCTTATCCTGTTTCTCTGTTTCTTTTCCTTGTTGTTCTTTGATGTTCTTTAAGGACCTAGGCCCTGGGATTATCTCAGGGAAAGTTAAATCAAGCCAATCAAGCCTTATTCACCTGCAGTTGTTTTCTGCTCTAGACACAGACTGCTTTTTTTCTTCTTTTAAATTCTAGTAAAAAGGATACAGAGAAAAAGATAAATATTTGTAAATCAGAGACCCCAGTAGACACACGTTTAAACCAGAGGATTAGCAGAACTCCATTTCACCATTTACATCCTGCAAATGATTTGGGTGCTCATAATACACCTCACATGCTGGGCCATCACACGAAGCGGCTCAGGAGCCCTTTTCATGCAGAAATGTTCACACAAAAGGTTTATTACCGCACACAAAGACAGTACTTTTTTGTTGATATGTCCATAGTTGTGAGGTTCTTTCAATGCCCAGCAGCCAAACTGCTTATTCTTGTGCATAATAACATATTCAGTTCTTTTGGGCTACATTGTTTGGATTTGGGTTGGTTTTTTCTCCCTCAAACTAAACAACAAAAAGATCTATGGATTTCACTTAATATTCATTTCCATTATGTTAATGAGGAATTTTAAATCTCCATTTTAGCTAATTACAAATGTATTGCAATTTTTAGTTGTAATATCTTAGCATGCACAGCACTGGATAAAGAAAGTATAAAAGCACCTAACATGCTGCCGTAGAAAAATTACAACATTGGACTACTTTCAGGTAACAATAATGAACTTTATTTTTTAATATAAGTTTTAGGTTGCATTTTTTACTACTCTGAAACAGATGGTCAAAATGTACATATGAAGGTACTTAGAAATGAAGACTTAAAAATCAAAGGTACTTTGGCACTGTTACAAATGATCACATACATTCCCTAAGGTAAATAGGGAGTTTGATCTGAAAAAGTATTGGTCTGAATGTATTTGATCTGAAAAAGTTGATGTCCATTTAGTAATAAATATTTACCAAGTCTGTGCAACTTCAGTCTCCATATGCTCCACAGTTTCTGGAACTGAGACTGGTACGTTAGCTAGCTCTGACCCATGCCTGTTTTAGGGCCTGATCCAAAGCCTACTGGAGTCAATGGCTACAGATGTGGATCTAGTTTCAGTGAAACTATTAGTTTTGGTTTACAAAGATTGTTTTGTTTAAACAAACTGGTTAATACTGTCTGTTAGTGAATTAGAACCTATATACATCTGTCTGTGCAAAAAGAAATAGTATCAGATGCCTTTGGAAGGAAGGTGATGCTAGAACCACCAAAATTACAGCAGTGCAATGGAAATAATGGCTGTGATTAAACTGGAACAGATTCACACCTGTGTTCTGGTATTCCTGCATATCTCATAGTGGAAACTGCACAGATAAAGGCTCACATCTGTGGACCTTCCAACCACTGGACTCCCACAGATGTCAGTTCAAGTTACATGTGGGACTAAATCCTGTTTCCCTGGCACATGGATAAACTCATGGCATGCAAAGCTGGCCCCTGAATCTGCTCAGATTTCACTTGGGTGAGGGTTGCCTAAGGGTCAAGGGAAATCCGGATTTCACCCATGTAGGTTATCTGTTACTCTTTTATTTCTCATGTAGAAGTAATCAAATTATAAACTTTCTCTGAAAGAAATTAAAATATTTTTATTACTTTTCAAGTAATAAAAATCTATACTGTTTATTAAATGCCTTTTAAGTTCTGTTTCTGAGATCTGATTTTGCTGCTCACGATTAGGGCTGAAAGACTTTCTCCTGTAGGCTGCCCGTTTCAATATTCCAACATATCTCAGCCTTCAAAAATTAATAACAAAGTGGTGTTTGCATTTCATATCAAATGCTTGGTGCTCTACATTCCCTGTTCCTACAGGAGATCTCATTTCACAAACCTTCTCACCCTCTTCTCATCACTTGTGTCTTCTGATCATCAGCAGAGATCCAATTTGTTATGTTTACAGTCCAATTGCTCCTCCTAACAATCCCTCTCTAAATTATCAAAGATGTACAGGAGCCAGGCAGGATGATTTGCAATTTCCCTGCTGTGAGTGACTGTACTATAAATTTTCTGTGCACCTTCCAATTTGTCAGGATGGAAATCACTCAAACAATTAAGAATCCATCAGAGGAGAAAATAGAAAGACTTGGTGAAGAAGGTTTCTATTATTGGGGGATACCAACTCGACTCATACATATAAACCATATTTAACAGCATTAATTTAGATCATAAATTTTGACTAAAGTCCCACATTTCAAGAACTTTGAAGATCTCACTTGGCATTCATCCTTGAAACAAGAGTGGTATTCATCCCTTTTTTGTTAACTATAAAATTTTCATCTTGTAGAATTTGTATCAAAGTTGATATTTTTCTTTTTTTAAAATATTTTTCCCTACCAAGCTATAAGTGTGTGGTAAGTGGGATGAAAACGTTTCTGCTGTTTTCACAAACACTGTTTTGACCTGAGGCTGGACCTTGGGAGTGGCCAAAACATTTTTTAATAGTAATACTTCTATTCACTAATGGATTAAATTGAATAAAATAATAATCAGCAGCAATTTTATGGTATTTGTATATCTCATACACCCTACAGAATAGTAATTTCAGTAATGTATGTTAAATGGATAATTTTTAATTTGATTAATAAAAGGTGCATGATAATTTGTATTGTAAATGTCCAGATTGCATTCAAGTTTGTTTTGTAATGTAATTAGTGGGTAATGAGCCTGGGATACAAGATTTGGGTGTCAAGTGCAATACTCTCCATGCCTCATCTGCTTTAATGTAGAAGTTGAAGTTTGTTTTGCAGAGTGTTCAACAGTTATTGCTCCCAAAACTTATCACACACAATCTAAAAATAAAAAGAGACGAATTTTAGCTTCATCTATTTGAAAGAAACCAATAAATCATTCAACTTGTTTATGTAAAAATGAATTATTTGACCTTGAATAAAGACTGTAAAATAGAATCATTTTATAATAAGGGGGTTTTTTTTGTTCATTCTTCATTTTCCATTTTGGCTTGTGTTGTTATCACTGTTTTCACAAATCTTAGAAGATTGTTCATGCTTTGGCATACCTTAGAAATTATTTTCCTCCCCCCTTTAGAAGACAGGACATGAAATTTAATGTCTAGAGTTTTTTCATTTGCGATCCTTTTACTTTTCAAGGAAATGACTTAATGGATGAACGTTGCAAGCAGCCTATTTCTGGAACACTGATTGATGACATATGTCATTCTTTCTTTCCTTAGAACTAGATGATCTCTAAGTTCTCCTCCAGCCCAAACCATTCCTTGATTCTTTTGTGCAGATTTCTAAATAGCACAAGTTACTTAAAGCTAAAGTTCCACCCATTCTGTCAGGGTAATAGCAGAAATATCTTTTTGGAAATACACAGCAAAGTGCATATTTTCTCTTTAGCCCTTTCCTGAATGCTAGTTCATAAATCCTCAGGTATAAGACTGACTCTATATCTGATTTACCAGAAAGCAAAATATTGAAGATAATAAAAAAAATCTGTCTACTCATTTTTATTGAATACAAAGTAAGGTGTCTAACACAAGGATTATTTCACCTGAGAAGAAATTCGTTAAAGAAAGAGGTAAAGTAAAATTTCTTTGGGTTTCCTCATGCATATATTCTCTAATGAACACAGTAAGTAATTTATATTAGCTGTGGGATTTTGGAGTCTAATTTTGGAGCATGTAAGCACCGCTGAGAAAACATGATCAACTCTTGTGGGAAGGAGTGTACAAGGTGCAAAGGCACACCCTCTCCCAACCTGTGAAATCATGTCAGCACTGAGCAAACATTATGCCCTAGAATTTCTGCAAGCACATATATTTGTTCCAAGTGTTACACCCAGTCAAGTTTTTTCCAGCTAGACTGATAGTAGTTGTTAGTGGTTGTCTGTTCTTCCTGAGTTGCTCAGAGTCTTCTAGTAAATCTAGAGTGTAATATTAATAGCATCATTTTGGGAACACATAAGGCATTATTTTGGTGGCAAATCTTTGCAAAAACTGCTTCATTATTCTATTGATTTCACAGGAACAGTACTAACAAGAATGGCAAAAAAATGACTGTGTTACATGGAAGGATGAATGACACAGCAGGTACGGTTTTGCCAAGGATCTCAAACGGAAAGGATAAGGTGAAGAAAGGCTTTGAGAAACAAAGAGGGATGGGCCAGAGGCAGCTCTGGCCCCATTAGCCATTTATGTTTTATTGCAAGTATTTAAATATTGGATTTTTTTCCCCTTAACACCATATCAAATGAACTACACGAATATCTGCCTACTATTAAATTTGATATAACTGCCAATCAACAGCCAGTCTGACATGCTAGATTTATAGTAAAAGTAAAATTTGTACCTCTTACTAAATTATATATTATAACAAACTATTCTGGACTTGTGCCAAGTCTGCTTGGCACAAGTCTACTGGGGGAAGAGGGATGGAGGGCTTGGAAAGTTAAGGGTTCATCTGGGGATGGCTCATGTGGCACAGTAAGAGCCACACAGGCAGCAATTCTTTCCATTTCATGCCTGTGAAAGAGCAGCTGCTATTTAGCAGTATTTAGAAGCATAAACTCATAGTAATGCTCTTGTCACCATTTAAAGGAGTTTTTCACTTTGAAAAATAAGTTTCTAGCCTGAAGCTAACTGGTTAACATATAAAACTAAGAAGTTACATTTAGGGAAAAAAACCCCACATTCTGACTAATGAACATAAAACTGGCAATTTACAACTGGGGATTTGATCTAACCTGAAACTGGCCAGTACAGGCTGTTCTGTAAGGTCATGTTAACCAGTGTGAGCTGACAGGGACAGAAACTGCAGAGCCTGGTGGCTGCACCAATTACCTGGGAGCATGGGAGACAGGAGTGGTGTCACAGAAACACACAGGTGGGGCTGCAGAAAGGAAAAAGGGTGTCACTGGTCATGGTTGGGATGGGTCAGAGGAGGCAGGGAAGCAGTGCCTGTAGTGACAATACCCATTTGTATCATGACTGGAAGAGCTGATAAATGAGAGTAGTTCTGTCTCTGGGGTAAGAAGAAAAACTTATAAGGGAAAAGGAAGGTGAATCTGCTTCTCAGCCTAGGGTTAGGGTTATACCCAGGGTTAGGGTTCAGAAAGCCACAAAGCCCAAAGCTCCAAGCACACTGCAGCTGCAAAAGGCATGCCAAAGGGAACACAGACTGTCAGAACATGGCTCATTCCACAACTCTCTGCTTAGCACCAGCCTCAGCCCAAGGCTGCTGGGGAGTGGATTCAGGATTCCTATGAACTGTCACTTTTCAGATCCAAATAAGATGTTGGAAAGTCCTCAAAAAAATATGGAATTATGGCTTGCTGGGCACTGCTAATGCAAGGAATTTTGGGTCTTCTTTTTCTTCCTAGGTGTTCTCTGGTTTGTTAGTCCCACTCTGGCTGACTGGGGAAAAAATGCAATCTGTCTTCAGACTCCAGATTATGAGCAGAAATTACTGTGTAAGGAGGTGCTGAACACATGACACATTGGATCTGTGTGTATGCCTTGCAAAAGCAATGGGTTTGTAAGCAAATTGAATTAGTGTGAATTGAATGATGCCTTTTATTTGTGGATGCAGGTCATGAATATGCACTGGATTCATATCTTTGCACAGATCTCAAACAGAAGGTGAAGTCTAAGAAAAGATAGGGGAAGAAATAAACATTTGTGTAGAGTACCTAAGTAGCAAAGGCAGATCAGCTCAAACAAGTGCATATGTGTATATCTATATATCTATATATAAATATAAAACTGTATATACATATACACATATACATATGTACATGTGTATGCACACCAAAATAAAAGGAAGAGAACAGGCTATTAACAAAGAGATGAAGAAAAAAATATTTACAGAAAGTTGGTTCCAGACAGAAAATAAAATAAAGAAGCCAATCAATACAGCAAATGCCTTAAAAAAAGACAGACAAAGCTTCAAACCTGAACCCCCCCATCCCCCAAAATTGGAAAATTATACCATTTAATGAGCAAGGTATTATTAACTGCCATTGAGTTTACTTCAGAAAATGTTGCCAGTCATGTTGGTTCTACAAGCCATTATTCCAGCCAAGAATTCTTACTATTGTAAATTAATAAGTATACCTTAGCTATAAATAGCCAGGTCAGGATGCACTAGAAATGATTTACCTGTTTGGTGAGAACAAAATAAATTGAGGACAGTAAAAAACTGTTCAGTCAAAGAGAAGGAAGTCAATAGCAAGTTAAATAGCAAGGAAAACCACTTAGAATTAATTAAGTTGCTAATTTGCATTTAGCAAAATATTTACAAAAATACTTTGATAATTATTAGGAATACATAATTAGAATGTGATTACTTTGATCTTGCTGAAATCAGCAGAAAAATCCACTTGAAGTGGGACTCCTTCCCACAGCAGCCTCATTTTTGCTCTCTGGCACTATTATTTTTAAATGTTCTGTCACAAACAGAGCTGAATTTCTCAGTGTGACCCAGCAAGAGAGCCCTTTCCTGTAGCTCAGTATTTAAAGCAGTGATCAAACAGTTCTGAAGAGATGTAGACAGGTCTGAATGGCCAGATTTTCATAAATGGCTCATTAACAAGCTTCTCTCCCAGAATCTGAAAATTTCAGAAGGCTGCAGCTTTCCTGGAAGAGGTACACCACAGCCTCCTGAGAGTTACAGCCCTTCTGCCTTGCAAAGTCAGATCACTCCCAGACCAGCTTCTGCAGCAGTATTTCCTGCTGTTTGTTCTGTCAGACACTTTTATCATTTGTTAAATGGGGAGAAACTCCTCCACTTATCTACTTCTTTCTAAGTGTTTATTTTCTCTTGCTTCTCAAGTCCTTCCTCTACCAACCAACAGAAAGAAGTTTCCCCAAGCCCAGAGGCTTCTCTTTTCCATCCTTGTATCATGATTGAAGTAGACATGGGGGAACAGTCTCAATTCCAGCACTGCATTTATTTTTTTTACGCTTATGTACATGTTTATATACTTACTTGTCTGCTATACGTAAAGAACACACAAGAAACATGCTTTTTGCAGATTAAAAACAAACGGTCCTGTGGATTCCCATAAAGTTACTCTATTTTTAACCAAGAGGTTCTGCTTTTGACTTTCTGCAAGACTGAAACTCAGCCCAAGGGGGGCAGCTCTTGCAAATATTCGACTGAAGACAGAGATGAACAAAATGGAAGACGGCACTTCTTTTTCCCTATGCCAAAATATAAAATGACTTCGAGGTCAAAGCTGACCTAGCGAAAAGCACGAGTCTCCGCGTGGGGTCTGGGACAGTTCAGGTACAGAATAGCAAACCTGGGAACACGGAGTGTGCTGACGGTGGCCTCTCACCGCCAAGGTCTCTGTGTGTTTTCTGGTTCTTTTTAAGATAAAAGTACTTGGGGTACAGGCGAAAGAAAGTAGGTGTTTTCAGGTGGCAAATAAGGTTATTACAGCGTATTTCGTCCATGTGAACGCACAGCACTGACGCAGGCAGACGGCCCCAGCTGCACCAGCGGCGTTTCCCCGCAGGCCTCCCGCCGCCTCACGGGGGGAGCCGCGATCCCACGCCGGGGCCGCCCCTCCTTCGCCGCCGGGGTGGGATCGCCGCTCTGCCCTCCCCGGGGCAGGGCCGGCAGCTCCGCTCCCGGGGCCGAGCGGAGCGGGGCGGCAGCGGCGGGCGCAGCGCTGGGGCGATGCCGGCGGTGCGGCTGCGGCTCCGGGCAGCCTGCCTCCTCCTCCTCCTCCTCCTCCTGCTGCTCCTGCTGCTGGGCAGCCGCGGCGCCGCCGCCCTCGGCCGGGACGAGGTGCCTTCCCTGCGGAGTGAGTGACGCCTCGGGGTGGCCCGGGGGTGGGGAGCGGAGCGGAGCGGCGGCCCTG